TGGGGGGGGGGGGGGTTATAATTTTTGTACACATGTAGATGTCGTATATACGGAGAATCAGGGAAAGAGATAAAAGTATAATGCGAACTTTCGACGGATCTCCATTCGAAACGTTCACATTCGTATTTCAGTGCGCCCCAAGCGCTTTTTCAATTTTTACAGTTTGTTCGCGATTTATTTTTACTAGTCTCTAGATACTCGCAGGATATTTTCATGAAACTAGTCAAATTCCGGGAATTCGTCTACATTTAAAGCATTGGCTGTAATACGTTAAAAGTGTAACGCGCAAAATATAAAAAAGAAATTACCCCGAGGCTAGGAGACAGTCGCTAGTAGGATTTCACATCGAAGGATATTGTTTTTTTTTTTTTCATCCAACTGCAATTCAAATCGAATCCTTTGTTTATGAGTGAGGATACCAAAGAGAGGAATGCGCATTGCGCAAGAGGTAAAAGAAAATAATTGGAAACTGGGACGGTGTATATGAGTGCCGCATGACTGTATATCCTGTATTAGAACCCGTAGGCGAACACGATGTATCCCGAGAATGAACATAGCAATGGTCGTGGTGCGAAAAATCCCAATACTTTGTCTCGTAAAATTTGTCGCTCGGCTATCGAAAAATGGGAACGAGAAACAGAAGAAAAAATTTTAACGAATTATATCGCTGGGATTGCGCAAAGATACAAATTCGAGGCAATTTATCTGGTAATTGAAGCTTCAATTATTTCGTCGAGCCGCTCTTATACCGATTTCTCGGATTCCTATACTGTACATACATATATACCACACACGATTGTTTTCTGTCGTCTCTCATCGCGACGAGCGCCGTCGGTTTCCATTACTCGACGCCATTTTCCATTCCTTCTTCATTTTTCTTTTTTCTTTTCCCTTTTCCGCCAGTCAAATTCGTATTCAATTTGTTCTATTTTTTTAAATTTTTCATTGCGCTCGTTGGCACCAAAAGCAAGAATTCAACCACCTTTTTTTTTTTTATCTTTTCTCATCTTCGAACAAAGCTCGAGATCATTTTTACCCGGCAGATTCACAGTAGCATAATAGCATCGCACCACTTCAAATGTATATGGCACCCGTCATAATTATTCTCGGTGAACCTCTACCCCCTTCACCCGTGCCTTTTCATGCCGTATTAAATGCCAAAAGAAATCATGGACTTGGCGGTTTCTTTGTTGCCTCCACAACTCGTCGAATAACAATAACGGAATTTCTTCAGGTTTTCCAACATCGTTTCCACCAGGAACATCATGTTAATACTGTGGTAGTAGTACAGTCACGGTCAGGTAAGGCCAGAGCGCATGAGGGGAAGGCGTTCCCCCTCCCTACTACCTGCGTAGGCCCGAAGAAAGCTACATCACTTCCGCTAACGTATTCCAAAATATATGTTTCAAAGTTTAGTATAGTATGTATAATACGTTATCTTTTTTTTTAACTTTATTCATACGAAGCTTAATGCCTTCATGTTCTTCGAAATAATTATAACTCAATCAAATATTTGTGTATTACATCTGATTTTTAAGTGTAAAACATATAATAAACCGAAAATCGTTTTACATATTTATATCACGTAAAGCCAACTTTAAAAAATGACTTGAATTTTGCGCGGACATTGGTAAAACTTCAGAAAGAAGATAGTCTGCAGGGCACAGGGTATAGAGATAAATCAAAGTGAAAATTATTAAAACGAATAAACTCAATGCACGTTAGAATAATTTTTTTTTATATATTTGATGGCATAAGATTTAAAAAAAAAAATACGAAAACAAATACTTTCCCTACCAATGTCCTGCGCAAAATTCAAGTCTATTTTTGTAAGTTGGTTTCACGTGATGTAAACATGTAAACCGATTTTCGATTTATTATATGTATAATAAAAATCAGGTGTAATGCACAAATATTTAATTGAGTTACAATTATTTCGAAAAACTTGAAGGCATCATGCTTCCTAAGGATAAAGTTAAAAAAGATAACATTATGGTATTATACATTTATTAAACATTTGAACATATATTTTGGAATACGGTAGCGGAAATGATGTAGCTTTCTTCGGGCCTGCTGCGCGTGATCCAATGCGCACTGTATAGGTAGCAGAGAGGGGGAACACCTTCCCCTCATGTGCTCCGGCCTCACCTGGCCGTGACCGTACATACAGTCATATAGAGGGTATCGGTACTATACTACATTATGTACAGATATAGCAATGCTGTTAGATTGGTAATGCCGTTGGGATATTGCGCCGCTGTTAGAATTCTGATAGGCGCGTATTAACAATCCCGATCCGCAAACCCTCGCACCATAGGTCACGTAGAACGTAATGATATAACGAGCGTACAATCCGATAACGCGTGTAACATATACGACTGGGTATCACCTTTAGTACGTATGCATATTGCGCATAGCATAGTTACGTACTCGCAGGCAAAGAGCACGAACCTTACATGGGGATAAAGGCTATTTCGGGACTTTCAGGATTTCGCTTTAGACTATTGGTAACATTGTTTTTTCTTGTTCTTCCGGTTATCCATATCGCTCTTCTGGATCCTTGAGGTACAAATACAATGGAGGATAGTAAAAATTCAATTTCTAAAAGATCGTCCAAATTTTATAATTTGATATATACAAATTTTATTTAATAGTCTTCATCTTTGAGATTTTTCAAATTAAGATATGCTGCATTAGCTTAGAAGCAATTTTATAAAAATTTTATAATTTGATATATACAAATTTTATTTAATAGTCTTCATCTTTGAGATTTTTCAAATTAAGATATGCTGCATTAGCTTAGAAGCAATTTTATAAAAATTTTATAATTTGATATATACAAATTTTATTTAATAGTCTTCATCTTTGAGATTTTTCAAATTAAGATATGCTGCATTAGCTTAGAAGCAATTTTATAAAAATTTTATAATTTGATATATACAAATTTTATTTAATAGTCTTCATCTTTGAGATTCTTTAAATTTAGATACGCTGCATTAGCTTAGAAGCACATTTTGATATTGACGTCATGTTACGAATCCGTTCTTTAGGTTACGATTACATTCGGTGTACAATCTAGGATTGAAATTCAGAATTTTGTGACTGCTTGTAGAAATATGACTCAAATCCTTTACGTGGGCTGTATTTCACTTGTAGTTCTCGTGGGAGTCTTTGGGTTTAGGAAGGGGAAAGGAAAAGCAAAAAGAAAAAAGGATATTCCCATCACCCTGGGGAGTCACCGTGAAACTTTTCGACCCACGGCCATCGCCATTTCGTGCCGGATCATCGTTGATTTACGGGGAGACGCAGGATTCACCCAGACTCAAAGATCAAATTCGATTTATTTTCGTGGCCCGCGATAAAGGCTCCAGGAGACTCGGGGAGACGATAGACGAAGAAAAAGTAGGCGTAGAAAAAATGTTTATCGAGGTCACACAATGCAATATTGAATTTCGTAAATTAGAGTCGCAGAAATTCATTGAAATTGCCGTAAATTTGTTTGCGCGATTGATTTTTACTAAATATTTAATAATGTATTGCATTTAATAAAGTAATAGAATATAATTATAAATATTGAATATTTATTAAAATGTTAAAATAATTTAATTAAATTTTAGTCAAAATACACGAAAGTTCGTTAATGACTTATAAATGGTCCAACGTGGCTGTGCACTATTTTTTAATAATTGCGATTCGTGTACGCGATGTTTCATTATTCCGGCGTTACTTTAATATACCGCTGGTGTTCATTAGTTTTCCTTTACGGCTATCGACCAATTCGGAGCGCGGGAGCGAAAGACCGAAAGAGCAAAGGAAAAAGGAATACACGCCAACAGGCTAAAGAATTTATTCCTCCTAATTTACAATTTCTTTCTTATTTGTAGCTGCGATTTTTCCTCTTACTCGTACAACAATTCTTGTAAGCGTATATATCATCAGAAGCTCGCGAGGGAACGACGCGACTCCCACGTGATTTTATTTCCTTTTTCGATACACTGATCTGCTATTCAATATTTAGTAGATACACAGTACATATTGTATAACGATTTTAGTGGCCGCATGGTCAGTAATAATCATTTTAGGCAGCATTCATGTCATGTGCAATTACCGTAATGTCGATTGCGAATATTCAATTTACGTGTTTCGAATTTCCATCTCTATTTTCCCGTAAAATCAAACATAATTCCGTGTTGTTATACGCATCCCGTAAATCGTTCCTGAAAATGGATAAATTTCATTGTTTCCACCATATATAAGTAAAGCTGTTGCATTTTACACCGTAAATCGTAATTCACTCGTTATTCCGTATCCCGTAACCACAAAATATTTGTGCTCCAATACTCAAGCCGAATGAAAAATATTTCAGAAAGGGAAGCGAGACTATAATCTGTCAACAGTGCTAAAATTAACTTGTTTCCTTTTTTTTTTTCATTTTCTCTTATTTCACATAGCATCAGCTCGTGTCTAACAGTTTAACAATGATTGCGTCAATAGTCCGAATTGACTTCTCACCGTTTTCTTTGTTTCTTTACTATTTCACAGACCGCCTGCGCCGCACGGGAAGGGCTTCCCGCAACTATACTATCGGCTGGGCAATGCACTGATGACGGCGACGACGACGACGATAAGGACGACGATGATGATAATGATGATGATGATGATGATGATAGATTATTTATCTAAGCTACCGTTTGCTGCTATAACACAAAGTACACGCGTGCACATAAGCGAGCACCAAGCACACAGAAACCCACACACAGATACAAAGAGGACGCGAATAAAGTCGCAAATCCTCGAACGACGCCCGCTGGGAAATCACGTTCCGGAGAGTTATGACGTACGCACTATGTTAAGTAATCGCAGGAGGCATCCTTAAGGAGTCCTCGCTGGACCATTTGCAGAGCCAAGAGGGAGTCGCGTGCTAACTTTAAAGATTCGCTATTAATCCTAACGGAGGCTTTTGTCTCGTCAGGATAACCGTGAAGCCTTTAGGGCTGGCAACCGTCTCCCTTGAGGTCTACCCGCAGTCACCGGAAGTGTCTCATTTTTCCCCGGATACCACAGAATCCATAACATACCGACCGCTTCCGGCTCCGGTGTGATCCAGTTACCCTTTTTTTTTCAATCCCTGCTCACCATCCCCGCGGTTAACGTTCGCATACACTTAGCTCGATATAACTTAAGAATCCTTCGTTATCAACGGGCGATTATTGTCGTTACGAGCGAGCCTCTCTCTGCTGCAACTTCTCTATCTCTCTCAGCCTCTTCGTTTTGTGGTCGCTGTTCTTGTTGTTATTGCTAGTATCCGCCGTTGCTAATGCTGACATTGCTATCGCCATGCGCTATGCAGATGGATAATTGAAGAAGAAAAATGTCTCTATTTTTTTTTTCTTTTTTTTTTTTAACGCAACAAAATACATCGCGCGGCGCGAGTCTTGCATTTCGCTCAGGTTGCTCTTCCCGTTGGAAGCTCGATTAATATTGTAGATTCGAGGAGAATTGTAGCTCTCCTCCTCGGAAGTCACGATACGGAGAATGATTTCCGGTTGGAAAAATCGTCGCCTTCCCAAGCCACCCACCCCTTCCCACCACCCTCCCTTTGCCACCCCGCGAACCAACAGGACCTTTTCACTACCC